TTTCCCATGTAGGACAGCTTTCTCCAAAAGTCCCACTTTCAGTCGCTTCATAGTCTTAAGTCTCAGTTTGTGACTCTGCGACTATTTGAAAGTTTCCTCTTGTTTGTGAATATCAACATGATCCAATTTGAAGTAGTTTCTCTCTGCAACATCTGACGATCTGACAAGTTCTAAGGAATATTGGGTTGACATGAGAAGAAGCAGAAATGTATCCGACACCGAACTGAAGTGATTTGACAGGATGTTGATGTCTGTCGCTCTCAATGTTGCTGTGTGCAGTAATATGTAAGTTTAATACCTCAGTTGTGCCACATGATATTTTCTCCAGCATCTTCATAGCTAAAGATCAGCTATCCAAACCGAGAGATAAGCGAGCCAGGACTGTAATCTGTGACTCCCATCTATAATCTCCGGTTGCTCTATTACCACTGAATAAGATACAGAACAGGACTCTTGTAATTTGTGGCTACAGGGACTAGCAGAGTCTCTCGTCGTGTACTACTTGACAATGAGCAGCGGTGTTTTTACTGAATTTGAAATATTGCTTTGTTCCATTGAGAAGTGGTGGTCTCTCTTCTTTCATAAAATACAGGCACGCATAACTAATCTTTTATGGTTGTGTGTTTCATAAATCTGCTATACTTCACATTAACAATGGGTCACATGACTCTGTGTCTGTAATAGAAGCTCAGTGTAGTTCCTCTCGGAACTAGAGTGATTCAGCGAGCTTTAGCTCATTGTTTTGGTTTCACGGCCGTACTGTAACTTCACTGTTCTGGTTCAGTCTGACTGAACTCATCAGTGTCCTTTGTAGCCACAGCAGGCAGCTATTTTCAGCAAAAAAGCTCTGATGAACACGCTGTAGGCTCCCTGCCCAGCTCCGAGTGGCAGACAGACACAGTTCGCGACAATCTGGTGGAGCGTTTAGCAGCTGAGGAGCCAAATATTTCCTTCAGGAGTTGGCGGAGAGAAAAACCCTGAATGTTGGACTTGTATTAGTCAGTTGGACAGAAACACGACTCCAAATGAGTGATAATGTTTCTCCATGTCTGCCAGGTGTGTAAGAAGCAGTTGACTGCGGACAAGTTCGCCATATAAACTTGTGGTTGCAGCCTCCACCGCATTAACGCAGCCATTTATTATTAATATTATTAGAGAATGACAAGTATTGATTGTACTTTAATGCAGTTCATCACTTTTTACTTTGATTAATGTCTAATTCAACATGCATCCGACACTCTCCATAAACTATAACATTGAAATTTGTCTCATTTATTTAAATTGCAATAAGGAAATATATTTGAAAGGCAACTGAAGACGGGTATCATGTCAATAACCATTGATTCTCGCATTAAGATTCAAGGTGCTCCTCATTTTTCTGACAAACGTAACACACTAGGAATATTTCTGTACTCATAGTCTGTCAGATTTCAAAATCTCTGACTTGAGCAATATTATATGTAATGGTATTTTCAATAAAAGGAACTGGGACTGACGGCAGTGCATACCATACAAATACTTATGCCAGCTGAATAAGTCTAAAGATGGCACATTCCCCTGAAAACCCTGAACATTTTAGCTTCAAGCCACAGCCAAAATAGAAGCTCCTCGACATATGATGGAGGCACACGACTATCGCACTGAGATCTATTATTTCTTTGCTGTATTATTACATTTTGTCCGCATAAAGATTGTGTTTTGAAGCGTGACATGTAAACGCATTGATTGGCTGTAGTTTTAGCTTTAATAGGTTTTAACGAGCTGGCAACGTTGCATTTATGGCTTTAGAATCTCATGACCTACCAAGAAATGTGATGGCTTCAACTGAATACAGGAAATCAACAGTTATAATTCATCCCCAGTTCTACTATTCTAGCATTGACTTGCCTTTATTAGGAATTCAGCGCCAGCGCCAGGGGAATAAAGGCTTGTCGTATGTGATGCAATGGTCACACTCTGAGACTCGGCTCTCTGCAGCTGGATGGGAGAGGGGTTTTACGGCCAATCGTTGCCTATGAGCACCGCGTGCAGTCCCATGCTGGATATTGTTGTAAACTGTTGAAAAACCGGGGGCAAGGTAAGCAGAGTGCCAGCATGGAGCAGAGGCAGAGTGACGATGTCATCAAAATGGCATTTGTAGACAAGGGCACACAGGACAGCAAGGGAGCTTGCACAGCTTCTCTCTTATTATCAATAACAGGGAAGTAGATCAAAGTTTTGATTTTAATGACTTCCTGAAATGAATTGTTCCTTTTTACAGGCGCACAATTCATTTGTGATGTGTGGTCTCATCTCGCCTCCTCACTGCAATCTCAAGTGGAAATAGACACAGGAGATGTGCGGTGAATACTGCATCCATAGGATTTTTTGCCTCGCTATTCCCGCCGGTCCAACCTTCTGGAGCTCACTTGTTATAATCATAAGCGTGACTTTCATGCCTATTAATATTGTGGCAGAGGAGCTCTGCCCCTTTGTGAAATCTTCCCTTTGTCCTTCCTTTCAGCGTAATCTGGAAATGGTGACAAAGTGGCAAAGGAGGCATGTGGCATCATTGGTTGGACTTTAAAGGTTCACATTTGGCAAGTACTGTCTGTATCCACTAAGCTCAACACAGAGAGCAGCTGCTGAGAAATGGCGCTGTTACTTCAGCCCATCATCACCAGCCCCAGGGCATTCACAGGCCAGTCTGAGCTTGGCTTCATGGCTATAGGGGAGAGAGTGCACTTAACTCAGCTGGCTGAAAGAGGCTTTCTGAACCGGGGGGGTGGGGTGGGGGGGGGGGGGGGGGGGG